TCTCAGTTTACAATGAAAACTACCAGGCCTTAAAAACTCTTGGTCATGATATTGCTAATGAAAGTTTGCTTTTGACAACGCATATTTTGCGTAAATTTGATTCTGCTCTCCGCACTAAGTTTGAACACTCACGTAATGACTCAAAAAAGGTCCCTACTATCAATGAATTAATTCATTTCTTGGAAAATAAATGTACACAAGAGGAGGCTGCGGAGTTAGCTTCTGTTTCGAACAAAACATTTTCACCAAATGAAAATAAGAGCAACCACCCAATCAAATCTAATTTTGCAAATAAGGCTAAAACTAATACTGCTAATGTTGTATTGTTGTCGTCTAATGACAAAGATCGAATGCTTAAATGTATTTATTGCTCCGCTACTACTCACATAGTATTCAAATGTCCTAAATTTGGGGGCATTAATACTAAAGACAGGTTTGACTTCATTAAGAGTAAGGACTTATGTGTAAACTGTTTTGGTATGCACAAACCTAAAATGTGTAAATCTAAACAGACTTGTCTTACTTGCTCAAAACGACATCATACTCTCCTGCATTTTGACCAGGCTCAAACAAGATTGAATGAAGCAAACACTGATCCCTGTACAAGTAATGTTAAGTCCCCTGATCATGTCAATCAATCGAATACTCTTATGGGTTTGGCTCGTACTCAGAATAATACTGTATTGCTTGCAACCGCTTTAGTGAAAGTTTCTACTCACAAAGGAAACGGTCTCGTTTTGCGTGCTGTTTTGGATAGCGCCTCACAAACCACACTTATTTCAGAAAGTTGTGCAAATATATTAAATGTAAAACGCTCTGCTGTTGGCGTCCCTGATATCAAAGGAATTTCTGTGGCTAACATAAAGCCTAAAGGTTTCACACATCTGAATATCTCTTCCCTCAGTGGGTCAAATTTGGCCTCTTCTCATCCTGTTCTTATTCTTGATCAGATTACAAGTAACCTGCCTCGAGTTCAGCTCTCACCCTTCATCAAAGCTCAGCTGAAAAAATACATGCTAGCCGATCCAACCTTTGACTTGCCAGGTCCCATTGATTTATTGATAGGAGCGGATCTATTCCCTCAAACTTTACTTGAGCCGCCTGTAAGTATGGGAGAAAATTTACCCTTCATTATGAGAACAATTTTTGGCTTTGTTGTGCTTGGTGCCGCACCTATTGCTCCCTCCAATCAACCGCTTCAATTTAGTGGAATATCCACTCTTCTCTCAACTAACGACTTAGATCTTCATGCTACTCTTCAACGATTCTGGTCAATTGAAGAACCGCCTCAAACTTTGAAAATTTCGCCAACTGATGCAGAGTGTGAAAAACATTTCCTAAACTCACACTCACGTGACAATACCGGTAGATATATCTGTCGTTTACCGTTTAAGGAATCCCCTCAGAAATTGGGTCTTTCAGCACCTGTAGCTAAACGTATGTTTAACTCACTTGAAAATAAATTTGCTGCTCAACCAGACTTCAAGATGAAATATGTTGAATTCATGCAAGATTATGAGACTTCTGGTCATATGGAAATTTGTGAATCAATTCCGCCCTCAGACGAACCTCACTTCTTCCTACCTCATCATGGTGTTTTTAAAGGAGACAAGCTAAGAGTGGTTTTTAACAGTTCGGTCCCAACTTCTACTGGAATCTCGCTTAACAGCTTACAACACCAAGGCCCAAAACTGCATAACGATCCCACTGATATAATTTTTCGCTTTCGACAACATAAATATGTCTTCACATGTGACATAAAACAAATGTTTAGGCAGATATTAATTCATGAAGATGATAGAAAATTTCAATTGATTTACTGGAGAGAAGAGCCCTCTCATCCGATCAAAGTGTATCAGTTAACCACGGTTACATACGGCATGAGTTCAAGTCCATATTTAGCCAATCGTGTTATCCAACAGCTAATGGCCGATGAAGGTGATAACCATCCGCTAGCAGCCAAAGCTCTGCAAGATCAAATCTATGTTGATGACGCTTTGTTAGGTTGTGACACTTTAAATGAAGCCCTTGACTTACAGCAAGATGTTATCGATTTACTACTCAAAGGAGGATTTCAGCTACGAAAATGGTCTTCTAATAATGAAAAACTTCTTGAAAATGTTCCGCTGGATCATCGTGAAACTCCCCTCATGCTTCGAAGCACTGATCAACCTTGTCACAGTGTCCTTGGCTTAAAATGGATACCACAAACAGACAAATTTTCTTATGCTATACCCAAACCCTTAGGAGTACATACAAAGAGAGCACTTCTTTCTTTTATTGCTCAGATTTATGACCCCATGGGGCTAATTTGTCCGCTGGTTTTTTGGGCAAAGGCATTAATGCAGCACATTTGGTGTTTAGGGTTAGAATGGGATACTCAGCTTCCTGAGACACTTTCTGAGAAATGGTCTCAATTTATCAGTGAGCTCTCAGAAATTGACAATCTAAAAATACCTCGCTACCTTCCCATGGTAAACGCCAGTAATATACAATTACACGGCTTTTCAGACGCTAGTGAATCAGGCTATGCTTCATGTGTCTTTTTAAGGTTAGAAGATTCTGATCACAATGTTTCAACTCATTTGTTGATTGCAAAATCAAAGGTAGCTCCGCTTAAACGCACTACAATACCTAGGCTTGAACTATGCGGCGCTCATTTACTTGCCAAGTTGCTTCACTATTGCATCAATAAGTTTGATAAACAGTACCATATTACAGCTATCAATGCGTGGTCAGATTCTATGATTGCTCTGTCATGGATCCACACCCCATCTTACAAGCTAAAACTATTTGTAGCAAATAGAGTAGCTCAGATACAAGAGCTTACTCCTTCATGCATATGGAGACACGTTTCCTCAGCAGAGAACCCTGCTGATTGCGCCTCTCGTGGCCTAACACCATCCGCTTTAATGAATCATGAGCTCTGGTGGTCAGGACCTAAGTGGCTTAAATGGGACTCAATTACATGGCCACAAACTAAACTTTCCCCAGATCCTGTAGAATCTCTTAATGAACTGAAATCAGAGACATTCAACCTCATAACATCAACCGATGACTCTAAACTACATTTTTTAAGTAAATATTCCTCATGGTCTAAACTTGTAAACGTTATGGCTTATGTTCTTCGTTTTATTAAATGTCTAAAGCTAAAGGCAAAAATAACCACTCATTTAACCAAACAGGAATTTGAAAGTGCAACAAATCGCATATGTTGGTGTGTGCAAAAGGAATGCTTTGCAAATGAGATCAAATCGCTTCAAGCTAAGAAAACATGTTCTACCCAAATACAACGGCTTGCACCTTTCTTAGATGGAGAAGGAATCATACGAGTTGGTGGAGGACTGAAAAATTCACCACTTAAGTACAGTGCAAAACATCCCATTTTGCTTCCCAAGAACCATTTTGTAGTCCACCTGCTGATTGATTTCTTTCATAAAATATATCTACATGCAGGACCACAACTCCTTCAAGCAATGTTAATGCAAAACTACTGGATATTGTCTCAGAGAAGTGTTATACGCTCCAGAATATTTAAATGTATTCGATGTTTCAAAGCTAAGCCTAAAATGACAGCACCTTTAATGGGCGACTTACCTGCTGGACGTGTTACGGCTACTCGTTGTTTCAATGTTTCCGCTATGGATTATGCTGGACCTTTTACAGTAAAGGTTCACATCTTACGTCGACTGCAGCCAATTAAAGTCTATCTCTGTTTATTTATATGCTTTGCCACAAAGGCTGTACATTTGGAGATGGTCACAGATCTTTCAGCAGATGCATTCATTGCTTCCTTAACTAGGTTTACTGCCAGACGAGGCACTATATCAGATTTATATTCAGATTGTGCCACCAATTTCATTGGAACAGCCTCAACGCTTAAAAAATGCTTCCAAGACCTAATGATAAAACCTGAAACACAACAGTTTGCCCAGAACAACAAAATAACTTTCCATTTCATACCACCTCGAGCTCCACACCAAGGAGGCTTGTGGGAGCGGGCAATAAAAAGTGCCAAATACCACTTGAAGAGAGTCATAGGTACACAAATTCTAACCTATGAAGAGTTTCTAACACTGATTGCTCGTGTTGAGTCAATGTTAAATTCAAGGCCTATTACACCCCTCTCTGCAGACCCATCTGACCTTGAAGCATTAACTCCAGGACACTTCCTGACAGGAGGACCTCTGACGTCTCTAATAGAACCTCATCTCACGGATATCTCTGTAAATCGCCTGAAACGGTGGAAACTTGTGCACGCATTTGCTCAACACATATGGAACAGATGGCATAGAGAGTATCTGCAGACCCTCCAAGAACGATCTAAGTGGACTACTCCAGAAGAAAACCTCAAGATCGGAGACTTAGTAATCATTCATGAAGACAATACTCCACCTCTTGCTTGGATGCTTGGTCGAATCATCTCAGCCTCTCCTGGTCAAGATGGCACTGTAAGAGTCGTTCAAATCAAGACATCTACAAAAACCTTAACACGACCTGCAGTTAAGGTTTCCCGCCTTCCTATAAACTAACCTAACATAACTCTGGCTACCAACCCCCTTCCTTATTTTTATTCCTCATATTTCAATCATGCATGGTTCTTGTTTTTCTGTTGAACCGGATCGGTTCAAGGGGGCCGGTATGTCAAATATATATACTGTTTTGTTCTAAGTATTCTTATATTAATTTTTAATTTTAATGCACTCTAATAATATGTAACTGATTTCACCACAATCTCCATTTAAATACCATTTCAAATAGTTAAATGTTTTCCTCATAGAGTGCATCAGTATCTTCAAATCCCAATGGTTTCAAGACTAGCTCTCTGATTGGTCACTGATATGTATCACATGACCAACTCCTTCCTTCAGTAGAGTAGTGGCACACTCTTGGGCAAGTCCTGTTGCTATGAGGACTTAACATGCCTTTTCTCCTACCCATTTTTAAATATCATAAACCTCTATACAAACACATAAATATTTACTGCTGGCTTATAACTTATTATAAAGACAATTGAAGTGTTTTTTAACATCATATAGTGTGAAAAAGTGAACTTATCAACATTATAGCATTTCAGGATTCATCAAAGGGGGCCCCCAGTCTACGCATCAGTTTAATAACAAAAGGTTAGTGTATCCAATTCAAAATTACTATAATACAGTCCACATTGCTTTCTAATTAACATAAATTCCCCACACCTTGTGTTTATTCAAATGAGTTTGCGAATCAGCATGCTTGGGCTATGAGGACGGAGTTCTAGGGAGCCGCAGTAAAAATTGGTTTTTCTTTTTCATTCCTAAAACATAAAATTGTTTTTCAAACATTTTTGTAAAACTTAGAAACCCAAATGATGATTTAGTAGATTAAAGTGTACTTTATATGGTTCCGGAGAAAAACGGTAAATCTGAAATTTCCATGTTATTTTAAAAATAATAAATAATCTTAAGTAATTTTCTTTTATGGCAAATTGATTTATTTCATACTTGACTTTTAGTATTCCACTAAAAACACACTTTACTGTCCAGTAGCAGCAAACCTAAGCACTCACTAAACCTAAGGTTTGAAATAGGAAATACATTTTACAAGGTAAATGACATTTTTAAATATCTTTTGCCATCCCAGATTCAAGAACTTCAATTATATGTATTAGATTTACCTTTGTAGTAGAGTTCTTCTAGGTAAGATATTTGTATTACCCCATGAATTTCTTCACCTTGTGTTTCATCTTCAAAGTCTTCTTGAATTCATCTTATTACTACACTAATTTATATTTACACACATGGTTACTGGTATTGCGGTCGGGTCGATCGGACAGCGACGATGTACACGTGGCAGAATCATGGGGGATGGTCTTTTTTCCTCCGTTTCATGAAAAAAGACTTAGGGATGTCGGCATTTGGGCCGATCGAAGGTTGAGGATAATTTTACTCTCCTGGTTTATGGTCGGTGATTTGATCTCTGTTGTTGCTGTGTTTTCAGTTTTGTCCGTTTCAATGTCGTTGTCTTATATTAATTTGAAAATTGTAGGACTGGTGTAGTCTTCTTTTTTGTTTAGGAGGGTGTTCGATCCATTTATATTTTGTAACTTTCTTGTACTTTTGTTAAGTATTTTGAGTCGGTTTTGTTCTGAATTGTGAGGGAATCGGGAATTGTAGAATTCTAGAGCTGTTATGATGACTTGTGTCATGATCTTTAAATCGTTGATAAACTGTTCTGTTGGTGTTGGTGTTGTCCTATGGTATTGGTAGTTATGGGAAATATTTTTGTGATTCTCCCATTTTTAATTAGCCTGTCTTTTATAAGGAATTTCGTAATTTGGAATGAGGATGGTTTTTACTTTATAGGTAGGTGTGTGTCCAACTCCTTGGAATTTTTAGGCTGATTTGTCTATATAGTTGGTGGATACGTACGTATCTTTTGGTTGGGTCATGTACGTCTGGTTGTTATTATTGCTTACTGTGTTGGTTGTTTCCTTTTCCATTTGGTTGGTTATCGTGTCAAACCTCGGATGGTCTAATGCTTACAATCCCAAGTCCAAGAATTGAAACGGAGGAGGAAAGGCCTACCGCCATGACTACGCCCCTTATTCATCGACGTGTTGTCCGTTCGACCCTACCGCTATAGTAGTGACCGTTTATGTATCAATATTTTTGTAAATTTAGACATTAGTGTAGTAATAAGAAGATACAAGAAGACCTTTGAGGATGCCACACAAGGTGGAGGAATCCATAGGGTGACACAAACATCTTACCTGCAAGAGATCAGGCAACAACAATCATAAATGTGACATTTTTTGCCAAACACCAATCAGGCTAATGCAAATTTACTTAAATTAACGGTGAATTTATTCCTCACAATTTCTAAGCGATTTACTGGCAAGTCTGCTGGTCTTTGTGGAATGTAATTCAATTCCTATCTGGATTTGGGGTATATGTACGTTTTTCTGTTTTTGTTAGCTGTTTTTCTGTTCTGTGTACTGTAGTTATTTTTGTTACTCGTAAACAATATTTAGGTGGTTTTAGGGGAAGAATCCCCTCCACTTGACCCTTACTTTTGAAATAATAGCTCAACAGCTGATCAAGCAACATATGGTGCATTAAATACAAAAAAGTGGTGGGGGAACTTCCCCTCAAACCCCTTAAATATTGTAAACGGAGAAGTAATGCAGATTCAACAACAACAATCATGTACACCATGTAGTTATAAGTTTATTTTCTGTTTGGATATTGTTCTGTTAACATTTCATTCTACATGATGACGCTATCTTAATTTAGTTTGGAAAAAAGTAAAGTTTTCAAAGTCAGTAAATCTTAATGTGTTAATTGTAGTCTTGTAGAATCAACATGTAAAGAAAATTGTTCATGTAGTTTTATTTTTTGTGGTATTCAAAGGAAAGAGTAAGTGATGTAAGTTCAAAATTTGAAAGGGGTCAAATATTTTGAAAGAGGGAGAATTTTAATCTGCTAGGGGCAGACATCATATACTAACCCTGTCCAGAAGTATTATATTTTAATTTACTTCCTATAAGTATCCAAGTTATTTTTAAAACCTTCCAGCCTAAGCTTGTATTTAAAAAAACATTTGCAAATATTATGACAGCTAGCCTGACCATACTACTGGACCGAATTACTTGGGGGTGTACCAAAAGACAGGTTGTTGGTCCTATGCAGATTTTATTTGAATTTTTAAAATATTCATGTTAGTTTTGGGTCAAAAATGGAGATGAAACTTTTTTATAGCGATTTAACATGGGGCCAAATTTCTAAGCTTACGACAGCCACCCTACCCTGGTGGACCTATTTACACGTTAGTTATACAAAAATAAAGATTATCGGTCCTAAATGTGTAAGTTTTATTTGTATTTTGAAAATATTTATGTAAATTGGATTGAAAATGGAAATTTCTTTTTCTTTTTGAGATTTAACATGGGGCCAATTCTGTATATTAACAGACAAGCGTGTTTTTGAAACCATTTTTTCTCAGATCCTCTGCATCACAGGGATAATCTGTTAGAAAGATATTTGCCTGTAGATGTGCAGAATACTTTTATAAATTAAAAGAGGCTCAAAAATAAGGACAAAAATGAATTTAAACTTTTAAAAAACTTACATGGGCCTTATGGGTTGCCATTTTGGTGATTAAATAACAACAAAATATATTCTGAAAATTTAACCCTTAGAGTGCCAGGCGAGAAATAAAAGTAACGCTCAAAAAATGCCGATGATTTTTCCCGAAGGTCGCGCTAAAAATGCCGAGCGCGATCTGGCGATTTTTAGGTTAAAATTTCGTAAAAATTGAATTTTCGATATTTCGACCAACGAAAATCGATGTATCGCATCTAGTAACTTTTGACTCAATGTTAATATATGGGTTAAAAGAATCCGAGTATCCATTCGGTTGTTATGACAACTGTTCGATCATTACGAAACGTCCGGTCAGCCGGACGTTGGCACTTTTGGCTCATTCTAAAAACGTCCGGTCGGCCGGACGTCGGCACTTTTGGCTCGTTTTAAAAACGTCCGGTTTCCCCGGACGTTGGCACTCAAAGGGTTAAAAAAATGGAAGAAATTCCAATTATAGATTTTGTTTTCAGCGTGTGGTGAAAATACCGAAGTTTGCAACAAACATACTTTTGGTCGAGTTTTTGACCACAGGACGAGCTCTAGTTCTAACCATCATAATTCTACACAATTTATTAATTTATTTTTTTAGTTTATTTATTTATTTACAATCCTAACAAGACGTCATGGCCTGGCTGGCTATACTGTATTATAAATTGTGCTAACTCTGCAGAATGTGGTGACTTGAAATTACGGCAGCGTGAAACCCAAGCTGACCGCAATTAATTAAAGAAATAGGTTTATTGTTAACAATTTAAGATATTTAAACCAACCTAGGGGTAGGTCCGTGTCGCGACTCTTACTTTTTCCTTACTCCTGAACTTTATTGTAAATTATTATTGTCTAAATTTTACTTTTATTTTAGTTTCACATTGTTTCAAATTGTTTTCATTAAACAAAATGTATTTATTTTAGTTAAATTAATAAATTGTAAATCCACTTGGTGAGTTTTTCTTAATCTTCCCACTCCCGTTGGGTTGAACAAGCCAGCTTCTACTCGTAGCTAGGTAGAAAAAAGTCATTTACCGTTCCTTTGGGGTCAGTTTGTTTTGCAAATATATCTGCTGTTTTATTATTATTCATTCCAGTGATAAATTGATGATACTGTAGTTACAATTGTTAATTAAATTACTTAGAATACCGTACCCCCAAAACTACGGTACCTCCAGAGTAGGTAATAAATTACCCTACATTTGCAGACACAACTAACAGTGGTCAATTGAGTCGAGGGTTGATTTTGAAGATCAAATTCATTCGCAAATAACTTGTAAGAAAATGCGAAACCTGTTTCGCCACTTTAGCAGAGATGGTGTTATGAAAGAACCTTGTGATTTATGAGTGGGTGTCAGATGGCTGTTTTCTTGCTTCCTTGTTGCTGGAATTCAGTTCAAATTTGTCTAATGAATCACTATAAAATATTACATTCTTAAACAAAATAAACCCAATCAAAAACAAATAGTTGCATTATTCAAGATTGCAGTATAGTAGCCTAAAGCTTGTTTGAATACAATTTGAGAAGCCAACTGTTTATTCTATTCATCTTTCAGATGATAATTTTTTTTTTATTTATTGACATTAGGATAATATGTTGCATCTAAGCAGTATCACATCTTCTCAAACAACTAATTCCATAAGAATATCTGGATGCTAATCAACACCTTGTATATAGAAAAAGAACATAATTATGTTACATGCAAATATATAAACAAGCTGAAATACAGCCTTGAGTAAATACAATTTTTGTTTTTTGAAACAGTGGTAGGATCGACTGCCAGTGGCTCTTGAATCAAAAGTAAATCAATTAAAATCAAACAGTCAATATGAAAGCTACAGCGATTGAAAGTTTAAACTTTTTCTTACAGATGAATTATTATTTGCAACTTATAACCGATTTACATAATTATAAATTATTTTTACTATCCTCTCTGGTAAAACAACTTGAGAGTTTGCAGAAATCGTAAATCTAACTTAAAAAAATAAACTTAAGTCAACATCATGGTGTATTTTCATCTGACTAAGTACAGATGTTTAAGGCGTAGGGGTTGGCGATCCCATCGCCCGGTGGCTTGTCCATCGCAACCAGCCTCCCTGTCTCCCTACTCTTCATCTGAGCAGGGGCTGTCCTATTAATCCATGTTTCTTCAGCTTCCTAACACATGGATTAACTTTCTCACCT